GGGGAGGGCGGAGGAGAAGGAGGAGGAGAAAACAGGAGGAAGAGGAGGAGGAAGAGGACGAGGAGAGAGGAGGATCCTCCCGCCCCGCCCATCCGTCCCCGTTCTCTCGATCCAGACGAAGGGGGGAACACGAGGAAGGGGGGTACGAAGACTGCTACGTAGATCCAGTTCAGGCCCCGCCGCTGAGAGCTCTCCTCGATGCTTTGGCGCCCCTCGCACTAGGAAAGTCAGTTACGTGAGCTGATTCGCGAACGCCGTTCTACAGCAGTAAGAGCGCATAACACGGATGATCAACTTTCCAGAAGGTTCACGCTTCGCGCCAGCCCATTCGGAAATTTTGCCCATGAGAGTTGACGGGAAAAGGAACGAAGAGACACATATAGTGAAATTACCCCAGTGCGACCCTACCTAGAAGTTGGAGCCCCTAGGAAAGCAGCATTAGTTGCTATGCTATGCCATGCTATGTTGCGCTATGCTATGCTATGCTATGCTATGCTATGCTATGCTATGATGCGCTATGCTAAGCTATGCTATGCTGTGTCATGCTGCGCTGTGCTATGCTATGCTATGCTATGATTTGCCTTTCCTTTGCGTTGCTTTTGCTATGCTTTGCTTTGCTGTGCGTTGCTTGTGCTTTGCTTCGCTGTCGCTGCTGTTGCTTTGCCTTTGCTTTGCTGCTATGCTCTGCTATGATCTGCTGTGCTGCGCTATGCTATGCTATGCTATGCTGCGCTATGCTATGCTATGCTGGGCTATGCTATGATATGATGTGCTGCGTTATGCTATGCTGTGCTCTGCTCTGCTATGCTATGCTATGCTAAAGCTCAGCGAAGCTAAGATGAAGGTAAGCTGAGCTAAGGTACACCTGAGCTAATATGATGCTAAGTTAAGCTAATATGAAATAAGCTAAGCTAAGATGAGATAAGCAACGCTAAGCTAAGGGGACGTAACTGAGGGAACCGCGGGGCGGATGCCGGGGGAACCGCCCGGGGCGATTAGCACTTCCCGGCCCTTTAAGCACACAGGGTAAGAACCCTTCTAGGCAGAGCCTAGTTAGGGAACAAAGCGGGCAACCAGGGTGAACAGAGAGATCTCCAGGAGCAAAGGGGCGGCCTTGGAGAGCCTATTCGGGCCATCCCTGGGGCCCGGTGGGGGCGAGGGGAGGAGGAGGAGGAGGAGGAGGAGGAGGAGGAGGAAAACTACGACGAGGCGTTTGGCCCGAGGCACCGTGGAGGGACGCGCTCCCCCCGCCATTGCCGGGCAGCGCCCAGCGCGGCGCCATACGCCCGCGAGGAAGAGGTAGAGGTTCCTGTATTTGTTCATTCCGAACTCACTGCACCTGATTTAAAAGCTGTGATCATCAAGTACCCCTTGTACTTGATCATCTTTACCGACCTTTACACAAACCCCCGGGACATCGTTAACCGCGGGTGAACCTTCAAGGTTTGGTCATGCCCTGGAGTGGCCTGTAAATATTCAGGCACGGCACCAAGATGAATCAACTACGAGATCACCAGTTCCGTCCGAGACTTCCCAGTGTTCCTCGAGACCACAGAGACCGCAATCTTGAGGCAGCTGCCTACCGTACGTTGGCCTGCGCGGCCCGCAAGGGCAACTCCACAAAGACGGACTTGGTCACCCTCATACGACAAGTTTGGAGCACGGGCGGCGCCGCCGCCGGCAGCAAGTTCAAGCTCAACGAGTATTGCGCCGAGCTCGCATCAGTCAGTTTTCCCGACGTTCGCTGTTACGACGACAGCGAAGATTATGGCACCAGTCAGTACGAGCTCGGGCAATCCAGCCTCGTGCCCCCCCCCCCCAGCGCTGCCAGCCGCGGACTACCGGCGGCGCTGCGACGGCCACCAGCAGAGCTACGCGGGCCACGAGCAGAGCGACGCGGACCACCAGCAGAGCTACGACGGCCACGAGCAGATACGCCAGCCACCAGAAAAGCTACGCGGGCCGCAAAACGGACAACGCAGATTGCGAGCAGAGCTACAACGGCCACCAGCAAAGTTACGCAGACCACAAGCAGAGTTACTGCGGCCACCAGAAGAATCACGACGGCCACCGGCAGAGCGACGATTGCCACAAGCCTGACTACGACGGTCACCAGAAGAGCTAGAACGGCCACCAGCAGAGCAGAGCCACGCGGACCACAAGCAGAGATACGACGGCCACAAGCAGAGCTACGCGGACCGCCAGCAGCGCAACGAGGAGAACATGTTGAGCTGCGACTGCCACCAGCAGACCAACGAGGGCCACAAGCCGGACTACGACGGCCACCAGAAGAGCTACGCGGACCACCAGCAGTGCCATGAGGGCCACGAGCAGAGCTACAACGGCCACCAGCAGATCTACGCGGTCCACGAGCAGAGCAGAACGGACCACAAGCAAAGCTACGATGGCCACAAGCAGAGCTACGACGGCCACCAGCAGAGCTACGCGGACCTCCAGCTGAGCAACGCGGACCACAAGCAGAACTGCGACAGCTACCAGAGCTACGCGGACCACAAGCAGCGCTCCGACGGCCACCAGCAGAGCTACGCGGGCCACGAGCAGAGCAACGCGGACCACAGGCAGAGTTACGACAGCTACCAGAGCCACGCGGACCACGAGCAGCGCTCAGACGGCCACCAGCAGATTCACGACGGCCACCAGCAGAGCGACGAGGGCCACAAGCCTAACTACGACGGCCACGAGCAGAGCTACGACGTTTACCAGCAGAGCCACGCGGAACACAAGCAGAGCCACGACGGCCATCAGCAGAGCTACGCGGACCAAGAGAGCAACGCGGAGCACAAGCAGAGTTACGACGGCCGCGTCCAGAGCTACGAGGGCCACAGGCCGGACTATGACGGCCACCGGCAGAGCTACGACCACCACCAGCAGAGATACGAAGACCACGGGCAGAGTTTGGACGGCCACCATCAGAGTTACGCGGACCACGAACAGAGCAACGCGGACCACAAGCAGAGCTTCGACGGCCACAAGCAGAGCTACGCGGAACACAAGCTGGGCAACGCAGACCCCGAGCAGAGCTACAGTCAAGACGCTGAAGTAAGGAACAGCTTGGGTTCGGAAGGGGCTCGATGTTCCTTAGGTCCCTCCAGTGCTGTTCCTCTTGCCCTCCTGGGGCACGGAGGCGCTTACAGGGCCAAGAAGGGGCTTCGTTCCTCATTTAGCGTTCCTTCTTTCAGCGGCCCGACTGCACGTCGGCCACCAGCAGAGCCACGCGGACCACAAGCAGAGCGGCGCGGGCCACCAGCAGAACTACGACGGCTGCAAGCGGAGCTACGACGGCCACCAGGGGGAGATCGCGCGGCGGGGGGCCGCTCAAGCAACCCCCAACTGCCCGGAGGCACGAGCAGAGCTGCACGCCCGAGAGCTAAAACTCGCAGGGCTACGAGGGCACGAGGCAGAACTTCGCAATGGGCCACTGGCTGGACCTGAAAGCACTCGCTTCAAATCTCCCCAGGCCATCGAGGCGGCAGGAGACTGGCGCGCCGGGGCAGGCCAGGCCGTAGACGCCCATGAGCCGCACGCCCGCACATGCGAAGAAATCTTTCGCATGCTCCAACCCCTACCAGATCCGAACATAAATCACCCAATGAACACACCACTGGAGATTAGCATGACAAAAATGAAGACGCTGAAACTAACTACTTCTTGTACTCCTTCACTCTTGTCTACAAGATGTACGTTGCTGGCATCATAGGCACCGCAACCTCGAGGTTCTCTGGGGCTACCTTTCGCGGGGGGGCGGAGGGACCCACGACGCCCCCCGACGCCACGGCGACGCGCTTCTCCCCCTCTCGCTGTCCTCCGACGCCACGACGGCGAGCGCACCCCCTCCCCCTTCCCCCGTCGCCGGCGGCCCACCTACCCCGACGGGGTGCGGCGGAGGAGGTCACGGTCTACATGACTACGTGAGCCGTTGCCACGCATCCTGGCTGCCCTCGGCGCCGGGCACGGCCCGCCCCCGCGGCGGGGCGCGCCGCGCGCGCGCGGCTGGCGAGGACGCGCCCGCGCGCGCGCGGCTAAAAGACGACGACCACCACCACGACCACGAGGAAAGGAGCACAAGGAAAAGGAAGACGATGATGGCGAGGACGAGGGCGAGGACAGAGCCTTCAAAATCGTCTCGCGGAGCCCTCTTGGGACTCGTGTGGGCAGGTCTTGACGTCCATTCGGGGCTCTTTTGAGGGGGTCTTAGGGCCCTCTCGGTACTCTCTCGGGGCTCGGGCACCTCCTGGAAGCTCTGGAGGGCCTCTCAGGGTTATCGTGGAGGGCGTCGGCGAAAAGGAGGGGGCCCTAACGTTCGGCGCATTTCGGGGGCCTCAAAATCGCCCCATCGGGGCGTTCTTGGGGCGATATTGGGCATTCGCGGGCCATCGGGGCCATTTCGAGGCTTCAAAGGCGCATCGGAAGCGAAAGGCAAGAAGGCACAGATCAACGATTGCCTTTCTAAATAGATGAAGGATTTGGGCCTCGTGGGACGGTCCTGGGGGGTCCCGAAAGCACTTGGAACCGTCTTGTGGCCTTCGTCGGGCCTCTCGGAGGAGCGTCGGAAACGATCTTGAACCATTGTCAGCTATCTTGACCCATATTGGAGGCCACTTTGGATCATCGGAAGCCCCCGTGGAGCCATATTGGGCGAAAAAGTAGCTCTAACACATCGCGGCCCGTCCCTTGAAAAAACAGGGAGGGGGGGGGGGGGGGGAGGGGGGGGAAGGTACCCATCCCCGAAGGGAAGAGGGCTTCGGAGGAAGGGGAAATATATCGCTAGACGACCTTCGCCCAAAATGCTGGTGGGACTCCTGCATCCTTGTCACATCGGCCCATCCTTACATTCGTCGGCACATAGTAGACACTTCGGCCCGTCCGTGCCCCGTTTGAGCCAAATCACAATGGCCTTCCAAGGCTTTCCGTATCCGTACTATGCATCCCAATCATGCGTTGTGATCGTACCCCACGCCACTTTTCGTCCGGCCCAGCAGGTCGATGTGGCGCGCTCCGGCGACGCCCAGACTGGAAGGACCAAAAACTGCACAAGCATACGTAAAGAAGTCTTTGCTGAATTTATCCCGTACTGCCGCACGCAAGTGGCTATCTTTCTGAGGAAGAATCCCACATCCGGGGCGGGCAACCGCGGTTTCGTGTGCGCCCGTGTTCTCGCGCGCGTGTGTGTGTGTGTGTGTGTGTGTGTGTGTGTGTGTGTGTGTGTGTGTGTGGGTGTGCGTGTGCGTGTGCGTGTGCGTGTGTGTGTGTGTGTGTGTGTGTGTGTGTGTGTGTGTGTGTGTGTGTGTGTGTGTGTGTGTGTGTGTGTGTGTGTGTGTGTGTGTGTGTGTGTGTGTGTGTGTGTGTGTGTGTGTGTGTGTGTGTGTGTGTGTGTGTGTGTGTGTGTGTGTGTGTGTGTGTGTGTGTGTGTGTGTGTGTGTGTGTGTGTGTGTGTGTGTGTGTGTGTGTGTGTGTGTGTGTGTGTGTGTGTGTGTGTGTGTGTGTGTGTGTGTGTGTGTGTGTGTGTGTGTGTGTGTGTGTGTGTGTGTGTGTGTGTGTGTGTGTGTGTGTGTGTGTGTGTGTGTGTGTGTGTGTGTGTGTGTGTGTGTGTGTGTGTGTGTGTGTGTGTGTGGTGTGTGTGTGTGTGTGTGTGTGTGTGTGTGTGTGTGTGTGTGTGTGTGTGTGTGTGTGTGTGTGTGTGTGTGTGTGTGTGTGTGTGTGTGTGTGTGTGTGTGTGTGTGTGTGTGTGTGTGTGTGTGTGTGTGTGTGTGTGTGTGTGTGTGTGTGTGTGTGTGTGTGTGTGTGTGTGTGTGTGTGTGTGTGTGTGTGTGTGTGCGTGCGCGCGTTTTTGCGCGCGCGCGCGTGCGCGCGCGTGCGTGGGCGCGTGCGTGGGCGCGTGCGTGTGCGTGTGCGTCGTGTGCACGTGCGTCCTTGCTGCGCTGGCGCCAACGCCAGGCTGGCCCACAGTTTCGTGTCGGCCATCCTCCAGGTGTGCGGTAGGTTTGCGCCGCCCACGTTGACACGGTGGCGACCCCAGCGCGGGCGCTCAAGGTCTAACGCCGCCTCTGGCCCAGAATCGGCCGATGTCGAACGATCTGTGCTATCAGAGAGCCGCGCGCGCTCGAGGTTGAACGATACACGCGGCGTCAGAAACGAACGCCTGCGACATCGCGACGCGAACCAGCCGTACCTCTTCTTCGATTTGTGGGCAGGGGGTCAGGAGTCGAAGCACAAAACAAATCATAAACATAATGTTGGGAGCTCCGCGCGGATTTCTTGGATCGGCGTTGGGCCCTCTTGGCGGCGCCTCCGCCGCCCCTGGCGCGCTCCGCGCGTCAGGGAGTGAAGTCCAGCGCCGATCCAAGAAATCCGCGTGGACCTCAGAAAGCGTATCTTTATGCCGAGTTTTGTTCTAAGGAGTTCCACCGCTGCCGCTGCGAGACTTTCGCCTGGCTGGCCCGCCGCGATCCGTTCGCGCGGGTTTCAGGGAGTTCCCTCGGGCCGCGCTCACTCACGCTCGTCTGGTCGGCTCTGGGCGGTGCGGCCTCGCCGCTGCCCCTCTCTCACTGGCACGCTCGGCTCTGGCCCGCGTTTGTCGCTGTTTTGGCGCTCGCGGTCGCCGAGAGCTTTTGTTGCCAGCTTGGAGCCACGGGATTTACAGTTGCTGCCCCGGCCACCATGCATGGGCCATGCGCTCGGCTTGCCGTTCCGCGGGGGAAATGGGTCTGCACTGCACCCGGCCGCCGCACTCTTGGATTCACCTAGCGCGACCCACTACTCGTAAAGCGCCTGCTCGCAAACGTCCAAACAAAAAACAGATCTCTTCCGTCACGTAATGGATCGTGAATCCCCCGCGGCGAATCCAGGCCGGTTGCGAGAGGTTACGTTTGCGAGTAGTGAAACGCGCTTGCGCGCATGTCTATGGACGCTCGTCCAGTTGGACTTCTGCTTCCCCTTGGTGGCAGCGCGTGCCTGCGAGTGCCCCCCCCCTCTCCTGTTGCTTCTGCAAACCTCCAGTCCGCCGGGTGCGGCGCGCCGGCCTTTGGGGCCGCGCTCGTCGCACTCGCTCGGCTCCCCTTCGGCCTCCGCCCGGCGCTCGTCGTTGGCCGTCGTCCCCAGTGTCGCCAGGTGGGGCGTTCCAAGAAGGGCCTTGCCTTCGTGGATCGAAGGAGTTGTCATCTCTTCGTCGGCGGAAGGTCGGCGGAAGCAGAACAAGGCCGCCTCCGCCGGCAGAAGTCGCTGGAAGCTCGGCGGAAGGCGGCGGAAGTAAAAAAATGCGCCCCCAGGAGATCCAAACGTTCTTGGGCTCCGGGATTTCGGAATCGGACACATGGTTTTCCTGCATGGTGGCGTTTCGCTGGCGATGTCATTCTCGCGGGTGGTGCCGCGCTTGGTGCGCCTTTGCAGGACCTTTGCGTGTGGGCCTCTTCTGCTCGTCGTGCTCTGTCGGTCGTCTCTCCCACCTCTTCTGGCTTCGGCCTCTTCTTGTCCATCCGTTGT